ATTTTAAAAAAAAAAAAATTTAAAAATTTCCCCCCCCCCCCCATCATTTTTTGATGTAAGTAAAATGTATCCGTCAACGAATACGAAAATACCTAAATATTTCAGTTTTGGCTTCAGCTTCGGTTTCGACCGAAACCAAAAGGTTAAATTTCGGTTTAATTTCAGTTTTTGACGAGATTCATTTTTAAATTTCCGTATAGTTTCGGCTTCGGCCGAAATCAGAAAATCAGTTTCGGTCGGTCTCTAGCTTGAGCAGCCCCAAACATGTCTGCTACTTCCTTCATCGATGATGATCTGGTCTGGGGCTCAGAATTAAAGCGATCAATACACTCCAGTATCTCTTATCAAAGAGAGTATATCATCTATTTATTGTCCTCCTGCCATTCTCTTCTTATACCTTAATCTTATCTCCACCAAAATTCCTTATTGGTAAGATTTTAAAAGTGCCTTTTCAATAGCATTTTCCACCAAGTGACAGCGCATCTCGAGCAGAAACGATGTTAAAGGCCTCTAGGTTGGTCACCATTTTGTCAAGAGTAAAGCCTTTGGTATACATATACTGCTGTGTAAGATGAACTTCCTCAAGTAGATCAGCCCAAAGGTAAAGCTAGCAGATAAACGTGCAATCACAGACGGCATGTAAAAGATCTTGTGCTGTACGACAATCCTGCTCAAATGTTTAGGGTCAGTACAAGTGACGAATTGGCAAAAAATCTTTACTTTTTTAGTATTTCTGTGATTCGATATATTTCGTTGCAATAACTTTTTTTTTTTAATTTAAATTAATTAATAATAGACAATTTTGTGAAATATTATTTTTTTAACCCTATAAGAGGATTAAAATCATTTTTTTATATTTTTAATTTACCGATTCGATTCATGTACTTAGAATCGTCCGACCACATATTAATTGTTATCCATGGAAACTTTATTTCTAAGACTTTAGAGACACACATATCGCTAACCCTAACCATTTACGAAAGTTATCGAACGCTTCAATCGGCGTTGAATCATCGGTCGCCTCATTTCTGAGACATCAACCTTGAGCTTTTAAGAAAGCACGCATTTGGATTGGCTACAAGTGGGGGATGTTGACGTGTGATCGGTCATCCTTTCATGAAATTCGGTTACATCGAGGAATGTATGCTCTGTAAATAATATGCAATTTTTCAATTTGGGTCATTCCTAAGATGGTGTCACCCGGTGCGGTCCGCACTCCCCCCACCACCCCCACCCCCACCCCGCATTCTCTTAGCTATAACGTAACTATGGCTTAAACGTACTGCCTAATACCAGGATGTTTTCAACAGAACAATGTTTCAACATCTTGGAAAGTATGGCTGACTCGCACTTCCTATTAACAAGATGTTTAAAGTTCGTTAGAAAGGAATGCCAAACATGAGTTTTAACACGTTGAGAACCATCTATATGTTTACGGAGAGGTCCTGTGGTTTGAGAAGGTGGGTGGGGGGGCTCCACCTATAAATCACTTTTATTGATTTCCCCAGTGGTTTGAATGCCGAGCCTAGGCGGTTGGTAAACTTATCCATTCATTGAGAGGACCTGGATTTCCCCCGTCATGTGTTCCTGTTACAATCGCCCAATTAGCGGTTCTAACATTGTGTATCACACACAAAAATTAGAAAATTACTTTAAATTTCTTAAAATGCATTACGCAGAGGATGTGTTTTATTATGGCTTGTTTGATTATGACATGTCATTTATGACATGTTTTATCGTGATATGTTTTATTACTTATTTTATCGTGATAATATGTATTTCTTGTTGTATCGTGATATGTTTTATGACATGTTGTATCGTGATATGTTTTATGAAATGTCTTGGTGTTAGCATAATTTTTATGAATCTTCATAACATATAAGGTACATTTTTTGCTATTACGTTGATTAATAATCATACAGTCTTTTGGGAGTTAAATTATCTTTACGAAATCATTTTTATGAAATCATTTTTAAGAAATCGAAAAAATTCAATTTTATGTAAAAATTTTAAGTATGAAAATGTACTGAACGAAGTTAAAAAGTTTATTGAATGAAGTGAAAATGTTTTACTACACAAAGAGATTAACAATAACAGCTTTCTATCTTTCCATAACTAATGAAGTATTGTGTTTGTTTCGTTTATTTTATTTGATAACGCTTAAAACCAACTGATTACAATTTTTTATTGACTTAAATGACGTCATTAAGCATGTGAGTCATTCAAAGTGTCAGGAATTGAATAAGTGTTCTCTTGTGTTGTCTTTGATAAGGCCAAGGCATGACTTGGGTATGACAGGGCATGACTAGGGTATGACTGGGGTAAGTCTAGGATATGACTAGGGCATGACAAGGGTATGACTGGGGTATGACTAGGATATCACTAGGGCATGACAAGAGTATGACTGGGGTATGAATAGGGAAAATGACAAGAGGTATGACTGGGTATGATTAGGGTATGACTAGGGTATAACTGGGTTTGACTGGGGTATGACTATGGT